TCACAAGAACAGCCCTAGGATATAAACCGTACTGTGGTCTCCTCCAGCCTCTCATTACTTGCCTGGGGATTGAAACCTTTTGTAAACTGGTTATATTGAAGTACACATCAGTGCTGCTTTACATATAACATTGTGCATCATAGTATCTTCTCTGAAAGAAGTTAATAATTAAAAGCTGTTTGCCACACGTTTGCTTGAAAGACTGATTCTTTGAATCCGGGACTACAAGTTATAAGTTGCAGAACTTAATTTTTTTTGTTATTTTATTTCCCTTAGATTTATTTGCTTCATGCTTTGGCTTTAAAGAACCATTTGCTTTCTTAGTGGGACATGCTATTATATCTTCTCTGTCAGAATGATTTTTTCTGAGTAATATACTACCCGTAGTTCCAGATTGGCTTATTGCCTTTAATTTTGTCTGTTCTCTCAGGTCAACTATGCATAAGAAGTAGTACACATTTGAACTTGACCAAAATAGACTTTATGGGGTGTTGCTGTATCATTTAGAATTGTATTTGGCTGTATAGAATATAAAACTCCATTGCAGTGATTTAAGAAATTGAGCTTCATTTTTTTTACATGACAAAATTACACAAGTAGGGAGTTGGTGTGGATTCCGCTGCTCAGTGATACTATGAGGACTTTCTGTTCTTCCCGTTGTTTGGCTCCTTGTTCTCAGCAGGCCAGCATGTTGGTCATGTTTACAAGATGGCTGCAGTATTTCCAGGCTTTACATTCTTGCTCCAGGCAAGACAAAATGGGAAAGGTTAAGGACTACCCTGCTGTTTCTGCTCTCCTTTATTAAGAAAATAAAAGGTTTCCATAACCATTAGCATGGTTCCTCTTAAATTCACTGACCAAAATTGTGTCCCATGGTTCTCCTAGCCAGGAGGGAGCCCAAAGGAAGCTTGTTATGTTGGGCTGGGCACATACTGCCCTCATCGAAGTCAGGAAAAACAGAGGTTCGTATGTACATGGAGTAGGCAACAAATCGTATCTCTCAAAATACTGTGCCAAAGTTTGATTATTTTACCTGTTACTTTAATACAGATGGTATTTAATTAATCAGAAGTTGGCTACAACAACAAAAAAATAAAAGAGGAGGAAAGGAAGGAAACATTCTCAGTCTGTCAATTTCTCTTTCCTTACATTATAAAAAACTAGGTAATAGAATTTCTTATGGCTGCTCCTTTGTGTAATATTATAGGTTCTTGGGTGTAAATAAATAACAACCACAAATCATACCTTGAAATAGTTAATAAAATAAATATATGTTTGCATTTGAAAAAATTATGAAGTGCTTCCACTGGAATACCGTTTTTAATACATTTAAATGGATTTCTTTTGGGAGAGATGATTTTCACATTGTATAAATATACAAAAGTGTTTTGCAGATGGCATGATCTTATACGTGGAGAACTGTAAAAGCTCTACGAAAAAACCGTTAAAACTAATAAGCAGATTCAGGAAAGTGATAGGATAGAAAATCAACATGCAGAAATCAGTTGGGTTTCTATTTACTAACAATAAACTCTCCAAAAGAGAAATTAAGAAAACAATTCCATTGCAATAGCATCAGAAAGAGTAAAATATTTAGGAAAAAATTCAACCAAGAGGTTAAAGACTTGTACAAAGAACACTATAAAACTGTGATGGAAGAAATTGGAGACACAAATCAATGGAAAGTTATCCTGTGTTAATGGATTAGAAGAATTAATCTTAAAATGTTCATGCTAACCAAAGTGATCTACAGATTCAGTAGATATTTTCTATAAAAATTTTCTATTTTCTATTTTCTCTATAAAAATTCCAGCAGCATTTTTGATAGCCTGAAATCAGTGTGTAACCACAAAGCCCCAAAATAGCTAAAGCAGTCTTCAGTATGAAGAGTAAAGCTGGAGCCATCATACTTCCTATCTTCAAACTGTACTACAAAGCTATGGTTATCAAAACAGTATGGTACTGGCATTAAAAAAATAGATACATTGACCAGTAGAGCTGGATAGAGAGTCCAGAAATAAAACCACACACATACAGTCAACTTATCTTTGAAAAGGGTGCCAAAAATGTATAGTCATTTTGTTAAAAATGGGTATCCACATGCAAGAGAATGAAATTGGACCCTGATATTGCACGATACATAAAAATCAACCCCAAATGGACCAAACGTTTAATTATAAGGCCCGAATCTGTAAAACTCCAAGAGGAAAACAGCAGAAAGGCTGCTTGGCATTGGTCTGGAGAATGGTTTCTTGGATTTGACACCACTAGCACAGGCAACAAAAGCAAAAGTAAACTAGCAGGATTATATCCAATTAAACAGTTTCTCTACATCAAAGGAAACAACAAAATGAAAAAGTGACATAAAGGATGTAAGAAAATATTTTCAAACCATGTATCTATCTGTTAAGGGGGAAATGGGGAGATTCTGAGCAAAGGGACAACGTTTTAGATATACAGTGACTAGTTCAGGGACCTCATGTATAGCCTGGTGACCATTGTGAGGAATATTGTATTGTTTACTTGAAATTGCCAAAAGGATAGATCTCAAATTCTCTATACACACAAAAAAGGTAACTGTGTGAGGTGATGAATGTTGAAATTAGCTTGATTGTGGTACTCATCTCACAGTGTATACATACATCACATCATGTTGTACATATTAAGGCATTGTACCTACACTATTTCACAATGACGCCTCAGTAAGGCTTAAAAAAATAACAGTAAAAAATGAAGTCACAGTTTCTTTTGGAGGAGATGATTTTCCCATTGTATAAATAATGTACTTAAAGGCAGGTTTATGGTGGACAAATTTTAAAACAAAAACAATTTTTTAAAGTTTATTTTGAGACACAGAGTGTGTGTGCACGTGCAAGCAGGGGAGGGGCAGAGAGAGAGGAAGAGAGAATCTTAAGTGGCTCCCCACTGTCAGCACGGAGCCTGATGTGGGGCTCGAACTCAGGAACTATGAGATCATGACCTGAGCTGAATTCGAGTCGAATGCTTAACTGACTGAGCCACTCAGGTACCCCAAATGTGTTTTTTAAGTATCACAATCTCAAGATGGATTCTTTTATCAAAATCTAATGAAAAAATTTTTACTTTTGGTGTGAGAAAGACTTTTAGTATGTTGGGAGTGAAGCTTGAGAAAAATATATTTTTTAATCAGAACTTTAAGCTTCAGTTCAAAGTGCCTGAAATTTCTCCACTATTGGTTTTTCTTACTTTGAATAATTTTAACTTTCTTTTAGTGGTAAGAGGAAATGATGTGAATCATTCAGTTTTTGGCATACGTATATTTTCACTGTGTTTTGGAATTTAACAAACATAATGCATGTTAACAGTATACATAGGCACTGAAGTAGATTTTGTGGAAAAGGAAGACCCAGCTCTCCCTTTTGGGGTGATTAAAATGTAGGAAAATGTATATGCCTTAGGTCAGTATACAATTGGAGAATAAAAGTAGAGCATGATTTCTTAAGGTAATGGAAGAAGTAGATAGGCTTGTTTAAAGCATAGAATTTGGTTTAGTGGTAAGGTAAAAGGTGCAAAGACAAGCTCCTCTTTTTGTCTTTAGCTTCTGTTCTGCTTATCCAGCCCTGTTGAACTCTTTGTAGTTTCTCAGAGTGTTCTGTGTTCTTTGATTATTCTACACCTTTGCAGTGCTTTTTGTTTTTGTATGGTTTTGGAATTCCCTTACTTGTTTTTCAGCTTGGCAATCTCCTATCTTTCAATAACATCTCCTCTGTCACATCTTCCCTGATCTTCCTGAGTAAAGTTAGGTTCCTCCTTCTCCTTTGTCCCATTTTCCCCATTTCTGTCTCTCTCTTTGTGTTTGTAATGTGTTAACCTCGAAGGTAAAACTATCAGTTATATTTCCAGCAAAATGGGTTTATTCAGAAATGACAGAGAATTGCAGTTTGAGACATGCAAGTTATGGCAAAACCATAGGCAAGTCCAGAGAACAAAGGAGAGGAATGAATGCTCTTTTATATGGAAAAGGGGGCTTTAGGAGGGGCTGTTCCAAACTGGAGGGGCTGTTCTAAACAGAGAGTCCACTGGAGTAAACTGGGTTTTGAAGTGTATAGTGTCTTTGATTGGCCTTCTTGTGACAATCACTCTTTGGCTGGGCTGTTGCCTGGCAAGGAGATCATCTTCCTCCTACTGGGGTGGTAAAGGATAGGCTTCTTCTGTTGGGAATTCAGAGGGCTGCAAAGAGTGGTAGGGCTCGAGAGTTCCACCTTCTGGCCTCCCGACTCCATTTTATTTTATTTTATTTTATTTTATTTTATTTTTTTAATTTTTTTTTTTTCAACGTTTATTTATTTTTGGGACAGAGAGACACAGAGCATGAACGGCGGAGGGGCAGAGAGAGAGGGAGACACAGAATCGGAAACAGGCTCCAGGCTCTGAGCCATCAGCACAGAGCCTGACGCGGAGCTCGAACTCCCGGACCGCGAGATCGTGACCTGGCTGAAGTCGGACGCCTAACCGACTGCGCCACCCAGGCGCCCCTCGACTCCATTTTAAATGAGGCTTCCTTTATTCAGTTTCACAGTGGCCGGTGTTCTTATCACCACGCACCATTTACTTATTTGTCTTTGCCACAGCTTGTGAACTTCGTGAACATGAGGATTATATATTTATCTCCAGATCCTAGTGCCTGGTGTAATGGTTTTGCACATTGGATCATTCAGTGAGTGTTTATTGGATGAGTGAAGGGATGGTTGAATGAAAAGAAAGAATTAGCCCAGAGTTTATTTGGGAGTACCAGGGAAGTCTTCAGAGGAAATGTGGTAAGAATACTTAACCCTGCAGGTATGGAGAGTTTGTGATTTATCAGTATTCGGAGAGAAGATTGAATAGGCAATGTAGGACAGGTTGGCAATGAAAGTTTGAATACATAATGGAGTAATAATTAGTAAAATTTCTGAAATCATGTTTTAGAGCTCCCCTTTTTCAAGTATGTTTTTCAAACGCTGTGCTTTTGTATTTTGTAGTGCTTCCACTTCTCATTCAGAGAATTCAGTGCATACAAAATCAGCTTCTGTTGTATCATCGGATTCCATTTCAACTTCTGCAGAAAACTTTTCTCCTGATTTGAGGGTATGTATGCTGCTTTTATGTTTTGATGTATCTTGTTAGCTGTTTGTTGCCAACACTATGAGTGTAGCCTTGCGCTAAGTACACAGGAGGTCTTGATGGAGCAGCCTCCCAAGACGTCAGTCTTTATAAAATATCCCAGAACAGCCCAGCAGATTTGGAAGTCTTATTTATTTGCAAAACAAAAATGTATAATTTATTTCTACATTTGATAACTTTTTAGTTCTTTGCCAAAAGATACTTAGTGGATTTTGTTGTGGTATAAAAGATTGTCACGATTACTCCCTTGCTGATTGGCCAATAATAGCTAACATTTTATTGAGTACTTACCATATGCCAAGTGTCCTTCTAAATGCTGTAATGAAATGTCTCTTGTAATACTTCTTTCAATTCTGTGAGGTAGAGACTATTTTCATTATCATTCTGCAGGTAATAATAGCTCAGAGAGATAAATAACATGTCCAAAGTCTCATCGCTAATAAATTCTGTGGCTAATATTCTAGCTCATGTAGTCCAGTTCTGGAGCTAAGTCACTTAAATATTATGCGATAGTTGCTACACATCTCGCTATAGTTTAAATACTCTTCGATTTGTTCAAGGTCTTGTTGCTATGAAATTAATCACATCAGTGATATCCCGTAGCATTTTGTACGTTTTTGGATTCATCTGCTTTTCTACAACTGTTTATCTATGAATGATAGAGCAAATGAATTTCATGTGCAGTGCCGACCCTTAATTCTTAGAATCTTTTTATTCCGATCAAGTGGCTGCTTTCCCAGTGGTTATACTTCCCAATTTTAATGAGAACATTGTTTACATTAATGAAGTCATTTGTTGGTGAGCATATACTGATACTGTATCTTTTCCTTATATTTCACTTTCAGAACAGAATCCGACAAATGTAAGAATGTAGGTTATAAACGTCTGTAAAGACTACTGCTTATTTGTCCTTATCTATCTTTTGTGAAATGTCAGAAAATAATAGCATGAGTATGACATGACTTTAAATATCACTAAAAATAATAGAGATTTATCTTTATAATCTGGATATTTATTGTGCTAATTATGAAGGCTTCATAATATTCTATTATTTTGACACATAACATGCATTTAAGGCAAGGTTCATCATTAATAATACGGGATATAAATCCATCATTCCCTGTCCTTATTTGCTACTTAAAAATACATGTTATATATATATATATATATAAATATATATATATATATATATATATATATATATATATATATATATATATATATATATATATATACACACACACACACACCTAACTTTTGTTTATTCATTATGTTAATGCAAATCCACTGTGGGCCTATAGGCCTCTTGATAATTTTGAATTTTTTTGGCCAACTTCTAGGCAGATTGTATTAGTTAAAAACACCCTTTGTTTTTAACTTTGTATTGTGACTGATAACTCAGAAATGGGAGAAATGTCGCTTAGGCTTCTTGATATACTTAACATTATTAATATTACATTCTACCTGCTGTTTCTTGCCTGAAATAAAATACAAATACATGGTTCCGAATAAACCATTTGTGTGTTCTTGTGAGGATTTAGTTAAACTACTTGAGTGGGTACATATGTGAATTGCATCGCTTCACAGGATGCTGACAGATGGCCTCTGCTGTCAGCTTCTTTGCAGACAGGTCCCCTGTCATTTCCTCACACACCATATGTATTATAAATAAGAGTGACTGACTTACATTGGAACAAAATGAGGGTCATAATGTTAATCTGTATGTTAAACATAATTTATTTCTTATTCTTTTTAGATACTTCTTAAAATTTAGAGCAGTTTTGGATTTACAGAAAAATTTCAGAGATAGTGTGGAGTTCCTATATACTTGACACTCTGTGTCCCCTATGAGTAATGTCTTACACTTGTATGGTACATCTGTCAAAAATAATGAACCAGTGTTGAAACATGGTTATTAACTAACGTCCATACATTTTCCAAATACCCTTAGTTTGTACCTAGTTTTCTTATTTTTGTTTTAGGATCCCATCTAGGATATCACATTACATTTAGTTAGTCATGTCTCCTTAGGTATCTCCTGGGTGAGACAGGTTTTTAGACTTTGTTTTTGATGATCCTGACAGTTTTAAAGAGCACTCAGGTGTTCTGTGGAATGTTTGATATTTTATCCACTATTAGACTGGGGTTATGTCTTTTGGGAAAGAAGACCACAGAGGTAAAGAGCCATTTTCATCACATCGTATCAAGGGTACATGCTATCAACATGATTTATCATTGTTGATGTTAACCTTAATCACTTGTTGGAGGTAGTGTTAGGATTTTCTTTGCAAAATACTTTTTCTTTTCTCTTCTTTTTATACTATACTCTTTGGAACGAAGTGCTGTGTACAGCCCACATTTAAGCCCACCTTGTTGTCAGTGGAACATCTACATATTTTTCATAATTCTTCTACATGGAGATTTGTCTCTTTTCTCTCATTTATTGCTTTATGTAATCATTTATATCAGTATAGACTCGTGGATATCTATTGTATATATATATTTTTAAATCTTTTGATTTTTTTAATGTTTATTTCTGAGAGAGAGAGAGAGAGAGAGAGAGAGAGAGCACGAGTCGGGGAGGGGCAGAGATAGGAGACCCAGCATCTGAAGCAGGCTCCAGGCTCTGAGATGTCAGCACAGAGTCCGATACGGGGCTCAAACCCACAAACCATGAGATCGTGACCTGAACCGAAGTCGGACGCTTAGCTGACTGAGCCACCCAAGCGCCCTTCTATTGTATATTTTGAATTGCAGTTCAGTACTACTTTGTTGCTCAAATTGTTCCAGGTCCAAATTAGGAGTTATTTTAGTCAGATCTTGTGTCCCTTTGACATATTCCCATCGTGTTTATTTCTTCTTTTGTTCTGAGCTGTTTTAGTTTACTAAGGAGGCAGATGCTCCAGGCTCATCTTGATATTTCCTAAAATTATCCATTTCTCAAGGAGCCCAGGTTTCTTTTTTGGAGAGTGGTATTGGAAACCAAAATCTGGGCACCAGGTGTGCTTACTTTCTTATTTCATTTTATAATTTGCCAAAAAGGAACAAAGCTCTTTTATTTTCTTTCTGAAGCAAAAGCTCATTTGCATGCATTTTATTTGGAGGTAATATTGTGGATAGGGTGATCACATATGCACATCTGTCTGGAGTAGGCTTATTTTATGCCTGTTTTCCCTTCAGATTTAACCTTAGACACAAAAATGTCCTGAATTATTGACTTTCTCAGTACTATGGGGTACCAAGGGTATCTTTTGAATTTATACATCACCTTCATGACAGTAGGAATTATCTCCATTAGTGCCTTATGAATTTAGCATCTTTCACAGTTAGAGGGTCCCTCAGAATTTTTATGAGATGAATGAACTGTACTTTCCATAGTAGTGTGTAGGCTGCCTGTTACCCTGTTCCCTCAGTTTTGTTGTTGTAATGTTTTTATTTATTTTTGAGAGAGTGCAAACAGCGGAGGGGCAGGTGGGGACAGAGGATCTGAAGCCGGTTCTGCACTGACAGCAGCAAGCTTGATGTGGGGCTTGAAGTCATGAACCATGAGATCATGACCTGAGCCAAAGTTGGATGCTCAACTGACTGAGCCATGCAGGTGTCCCCCTGTTCCCTCAGTTTGAAAGATATGTTTAGTTGTTAGTCTTCTTTTCAGTTGGGGAGGGAGAAGAATGACTAACATTACATCAAATGTTAGTATCCTTTAAAAAATGCAGCCCAATTTCGGGTGTGTTCTCTTTTCAGAGGTGGGATGGGAAAAAGGAGGTGCTTCTAATACTTGAGAAACATCCAGCTTGCTATTGATAAATATGTATACATGCCTCATCTCATTTAACTTTCACAACAATCCTGTGAGACAGATATTATTACTCTGTTTGGCCAGTGAGAAATCTGCTAATTCAGAAGAGATGAATTAAGTCCTGTGCTTAAAGGCACACAGCTCAGTGTTGTCCTGACGCGGTCTCAGGTTGGTCATATTCCTGTACAGCACATTACCCAGAGAGACTATCCATCCAAGACTTGGCTGCTCTTTTCGAATGTGCAGTGAGATTTTCTTAAGTAACAAGGAATGTCTTTAATACATTTTTTGAGGTAGCAATAACAGCTTTCAGTATTACTTCCTTAATACATGAACATTGCCTTTCTGAATAATCAGAAAATGAGGCTTTTTGTAATAAAAATCTGATCTCCCCTCTCCCCAATTTTCTTAGCGGATTGATATTTTACTTTCAGTGTGTATACCTTTACTGGCCATAAGGTAGGAGTGAGCTAGTTAATTATAGGTGTACCCTAACTGGAGACAGCTGCGTGCTGTTCTCTGATCGTGGTGCGGCTCTACTCACGAGGTGAAGGTCTTGGTGTGGAAGTGATGGAAATCATCATTCACAGATGATCTGAAGTTGATTAACCTCTAGGCTCTGAGTTCTCCACAGAACCTCAACCATTTATCCCTGCCTTAATCTTTTTAAAACTCCTTTGTAACAGCTTCTAAATAAGTATAAGCAACACCGTGCATTGAAAAGCTAATCCAATTTCGTTAAAAATCTAAAATCACATTGCATAAGTTTTCTACTACAGGTGACACTTGCCTGAAAGGATAGTGTGTTACTTGGTCCAGAGGTGAATGTGAGAGCTTCTGTTAAGGATTTCTTACTGAAACAAGATTTGTTGCTTCTGCGCCAGTAAAGAAGGGGAAATTAGAGGAGGTGTGGAACTGTACTAGACATCTCAAAACTTGTATTTATCCACGTGCATTTCTCCTTGTATTTTTCATTTTTAACCCTGCTTGTTGTGGAAAAAGTCAGATACAGATAAAATCCAGTACATGTGTTTCCAAAAAATTGAGCACAAATTCAGCCTTTGGAAATTGAATCATGCTTCCTCGTGAATAATTGTAGAGTGTGTTCTCTTTGCCTCATTTGCTTTTCACTTTGCAGTGAAACTTATTTAATTAAAAAAACAAA